ATGGGGCTGTGAGAAGGTGTAGGAGACTCATTTTTATTAGCATTCTTTTTGTTTGATTTATTTTAGAGGGACAGAGCATCATTTTTGTAACTAATAATTATTAAATAAAAACCAGGTGCTGTTACTAATAGTCAGGCACAAGGGGGGGCTGTGGACTACACCCATCTTGTGTTGCTCATATCACACTGGAAGACTTTCCCTGGGAACATCACCTACCCCCAAGGCAAGAGAGCAGGACTTGGAATGCAGGCTCCCATCCCTTGTCTGCAATCCTGAAATCCAAAAAAATCTGGAAGGCAAATCTCTTCATCTGGGGCCAACACTTAATCTGAACTCAGGTGAGGCTTTTTATAGCTTTGTCCCACTTACTGTGGATTTGTATACGTCACTCAGCAGAAACAGAACTGTACTCATATGCTCCTGTGTGGTGGCCTCTGGCCCTGTGTGAGTGTCACATAGTATGTGTATACACACCAGGCTGCCTTTCTAAGTCGGGATGTTTCTGAATTTGAATCACATCTGGCCTGAGTGCTTTGGTGTGGGATTGTGGACGTGTGCTCACATTAATGTCTGGGCAGCCGCTTTTCCAGTAGTTGTCCTTCAGCAACAGTCACCTGTGCCTCCCTCCTCCCCAGCCAGCTTTCGCTTTGGGTCATTGGGATTGTCACCTTAGTGCCACTGACCACTCTAAAATATCCTTCCTTCTTCCATCCCCTGCTGGAGCTTCTGGCCTCCTAGGTGTGGCCTAAGATTTAAAGACCAAAGATCCAGAAAACAATGAAGGGAAGGTTCCTCCAGGAGCCGAGGGAGAGAGGGAATGTTCTGTGGCTGAAAGGACAGCTGAGACATCATATGTTCTCTCCTTCTTCTAGATACGCTGATGACAGTCACTCAAGACTCCTTCAACAACCATGGGCATGGGCAATCTCAAATCCACACCCTGGTTGTTACCAGCCCCAGAGAGCAATGACACTGGGCCCCAGAGCCATGGGACAGTGAGGGGTACCCAAACATCAGTCCCAGGAACTCTCGCCCTCTGGTCCTGACCTTGGCAGGTAATTTGAGGACATCTCTACAGCCTTGTGTGTGACCACGCCCACCCCCTCCAAAACAAACTTGATTTTTTGCCTCCTTTAAGGAAATGGAGGAGTTGTAAGAACAGCACCCAGTCTGGTGGTTGGGGAGGGAGAAATGACTGATGAGAAAGTTAAAGGAGAGATGTTGGAAGAGATAGAAGATGATGGCTCAGAAGAACCAGGCTTCCAACTGTCTGCATGAGCTTGTGTGTGTGTGACAGAGAGTAAGAAGCAGGCAGACAGACAGGACACAGATAGAGTCATGAAACAGAGGGAGTGGAGGGAGAGAAGGGAGAGATGGGGAGGGGAAGATAGAGACCCTAACCAAGGAAGAGTTTTTTTTTTAAAGTTTCAAATCTGGCCAAAGCATATTTTAGCATACACAATGCTGAAACAGACCCACTGCCATTTTCTTTTTCTTTTGTTTTTGAGTTGGAGTCTCACTCTGTCGCCCAAACTGGAGTGCAGTGGCTGCTCCCAGCCACCACAGCCTCGACCTGCTGGGCTCCAGCGATCCTTCTGCCTCAGCCTTCCGAGTAGCTGGAATTACAGGCACGCGCTACTACACCTGATTTTTTGATTTATTGTAGAGATGGGTCTCACTAAGTTGCCCAGGCTGGTCTCAAACCCTGGGCTCAGGCAATCCTCTCACCTTGGCCTCCCAAAGTGCTGGGATTACAGGCTTGAGCCACCATGCCCAGCTGAATTGTCATTTTATTTATTTATTTATTTATTTAGAGTTGGAGTCTCACTCTTTCGCCCAGCCTGGAGTGCAGTGGTTCCAAGTAGGGAGAACTATGGGTGTGTGCTACCACGCCCGGCTAATTTTTGATTTATTGTAGAGATGAGGTCTTGCCAAGTTGCCCGGGTGGGTCTTGAACCCACGGGCTCAGCCATCCCTTGATGTGCCCTTAGCAGAATGAATCCAGGTGAGTTCTGTTTCCTGCCTGGCAGCAGGATGAGCCATGGGAAGTCCTTAACTATGATAAATGAATGATAGGGTCACCTTTCTCAACAGGGGCCCAAGCCAGGAGGTATGGCCTCAGCAACCTGAAACTGCTACATGCTAGCCTGACCCAGGTGAGCCAACAGGGTCCCAGGCTGACTGGTGAGCTTGGCAGGAGAGCTCCTGCCTGAGCAGGTGAAGCATGGTTTTTGTAAGTCACCCTCAGTTATAAATCAAGAGGCTTCCCTCTTCTTGTTCAGTGTGTGACCTTGGGCAAGATACTTTGCCACTCCACACCCATTTCCTTTGCTGTAAAATGGGCACAGTCTAGGGCTGCATAAGAGCTTCATAAGGTGATCTGTGGAAAACACTTAGAATAGTCCCAGCACATAGTTGTGAGATTCGGTCCCCTAGCCTGGCCTGACATATGTTCCAGTCCCTCAGTCCTCAGTATTTTCTGAGAGCTTCCTCTGGGAAAAGCAACAAGTAAGATTCCCTGGGAAGGGTAATACTCAGTACTCACTGGGGCTCAGATGGAATGAACGGACTCACACACACAGTGACATCAAACTGATGCATTTATCACACTAGTCACTCCTGGTATCACCTCTGTCCTGGACAAAGAGCCCAGACTGATTGCAAACCAAGTTCTAACCACTGCTTGTCCCTCAGCCTCTTCAACACCTGAACAGGAGGGTCCATCCACAGCATCCCTAAAGGCCCCCACTCCAGGCAGTTGAATCAAGAGCCCAGTTGTGATTCCTGGGGCTCTCCATTGTTATTTTGAAAGTTTCTGGCAGTCTTTCAGGAAGGGCTATGATGAATGACCCTTTTCTTCTTTTTACAACTGTCATCAAAGTCACACACTACAGGATCCAGTGGGGCACGGTATGGGGGGCATGGAGCTGGCAGTAACCAGCAGACTTATTATGATCACGAAGGCAGCGGTAAGGTGTGAGGGCCTTTCTAGCACAGTGGGGCCAAGATTCCAGGGCCAAGGAGAACCTGAACTTCATGGGTTCATCAAAAACAACTTTTTCATATTCTCGGCTCATGACTTCTAGCCAAAGTTCTCTAGTGACAGCAGAAGAAGTGTCACCTGTGTCTTGCTGCAGAGCTTGCCCACTGTCCTTCCGGGCAGGGATGGACAGCCACACCCTGCCTGAATGGATGCTATCCCTAGCTGGCATTCAACCCAGGACATGAGAATTCCTGTATCCAGTAGGGTTTCTGACCTTAGATACTTACTTATCCCAGGCCTGGGGCTTCTTCAGTGAACCCAAGGAGACCATGTCTCACCACACAGACCCAGTAAGACTGACCCTCCCACACTCCTTAAGCTCGGAATTCTTGGTAAGAGTAGAAAATTGGAACAAGTAAAATGTCTAACATCTACTTTCTTTTCTATTTCATTGGTTTTTGTTTTCATCTGTACTCCTATTTTTCTCTGGCCTTGATTTACTATTTATTTTCTAGCTTCTTGAGATAGAGGCTTAATTTATTGATTTGCAGTCTTTCTTCTTTTCTAATGTATGCACTTAGGCCTATGAATTTCTCTCTGAGCACTGCCTGGGCTGCAGCCCACAAGTATGATGTCACATTTTTGTATCTTCTTGCTTTTAACATCTATGTTTTATTTTTTCTGCTAAATTAAAATATTCAAAGCAAGTCTGAATTCCAATTTAAACCATAAAGTTGATCTCACTTTATTCCCAGAACAACTTGGCTGCAGACTCTGTACAAAGGCTTGAAAAAGTGATGCTCCCAGGGTGGTTATGCCTAAGCACAACAGAAGGGCATCAAAATATGGGATTTAGGAGAAGTTTGATGACTCTCACTTTTTGTTTTTTATATATATATATACAACTCCAATAGAATAGAAATGGTAAACACGATTTCTTAAAATAAAATAAATCATCCATACAAAGGCTCCCAAAACCTGTAGAACAAGCCTTACTTCAAAAAACACATTTTAAAGTCAACAGAAAGTTTGGCAACATTGCACTTAATTTGGAGCTCAGAAATAGAAAACACCTGCATGTTGTTGATCTAGACTCATTAAATTTATTTCATATCATTGTGGTCACTTTTACAGCTGTTTAGACTTATTTTCAATTACTTTACTGTTCACAGAATTCACAGAATTCATTAACAAACTAGTATTTCACATCCAAGAGTTTTCAGTAGCATAGCAAAATAGAAAAGAGGCCCACAAGTTGTTGCTTGTGTGGAACCTGAGTCTGATATTTAGAGAGTTGTCTAGAACATTATTGCTTTATTAGTCCTACTTTTTTTTTTTTTTGAGTTGGAGTCTCACTCTGTCACCTAGACTGGAGTGCAGTGGCTGCTCCCAGCCACCGCAGCCTCGACCTGCTGGGCTCCAGCGATCCTTCCACCTTAGCCTTCTGAGTAGCTGGAACTACAGGTGCGCGCTACCACACCCGGCTCATTTTGATTTATTGTAGAGATGAGGTCTCACCAAGTTGCCCAGGCGGGTCTTGAACCCGCAGGCTCAGGCAATCCACTCACCTCAGCCTCCCAAAGGCGCGGGATTACAGGCTGAGCCACCAAGCCCGGCTTATTAGTCCTACTTTTAAAAATAATAAGTTATTTCTAGGAACCCCACCCTCCCAAGTGTTCTTCATTCCATGAGTGTTCTGGCTTGCTCACAACATACCCAACTCATGGGTGCCAGACAAACCCCTCACCTGCGTTCTCTGCTGCTCATGTAGTTTTGAGGGCTGGCTGAGGTGGGACAGTGCCCCTCTATGCATGTAAACATTTCTACAGCTTGCTATCTTCTTCCTTGTCCTGCAGCTGATGGGCTGCATTCGTATATGGGTCTCTATGTAAAACTTAAATTAGACCTAAACAACAGGATTTCAAAAGTGGGACTAATACTCCTAGAAGAGCCACTGACCATGCATGGGAATACATCAGAAGCAACAAAAGTATCTTGAGTTTCAGTTGATGAGAAATGTCTTAAAGAAAATGTCTTCGATGATTATGGCCTAAAAAGGCCGCTCTGCAAAAGCTTGTCAGCCACATGAACTTGAAGACTTTCTTGGTAGATTTCATGGTTGAGTTCTTATTTTGTTCCATATGCATTTCCATTTTGTGGAAAAGATCTTGGAGATTTTCTTGTGGTCCCTGAAGTGCTGTGGAACCGTGGATATCAGGGATAGGGGACTGGCTTCCTCAGGGACGCTGGCGCTCCAACTGCATTTGGGGCAGAATTCCTGAGAGTGGTGGCCGCGTCAGATTCGGGGTATGGGAGTGGATGCGGTGTGCAGAATGCAAGCTGCAGTCGGGACTCAGTCCAGCTTCTTGTTGTTGTCTGTGTTGTGCACAGAAGCTAAAAAGTCGACAATGAGCTTAGCAGTCTTCCTGGGTCTCTCCATCACCACCGAGTGCCCACAGTTTTCCAGAAGCTCTACCTGGCAGTCAGCAATGGACTTGGCCAACATGTCCGCCCCAGACACATCGAGCACCTGCCAGGCAAAAGAAGGAGCTAGGTGATACACAAAGATTCAGACACCCATGTGTACACTCCATGGATAGAACTTCCACTGAGGCCTATTGAGGGGTTGCTATGGGGGGTAAATTTCAGCACTAAGTCACTGAAAGTCACTTTCAACACTGTGGTGTTGGGACTTGTGACTCTCTGGATAGAAGGAACCACCATCATGCCTCATGTCTGTGCAACTTGATGCCAGCAATTCTAAAAACATTCCTGCAAGTGAGGAGGTTATGGTCTGGTGGGGAAGCCAGAGTGCACAAGCGAGGAGCAGGGGTGAGGAAAGACATTGTTCCTGAATTCTGGGAGAGCAGAGAAGGGACAGGGGAGGTGTACTGGTGGGAGAAAAACAGCGCCAGGCTGGGAGATCATGGTGTGTGAAGGAGGCAGCAAGGAGCTTGGTGGCTGAGATAGCACAGGGCAGTGGCGAGCGGCATGGCGGAGAGAAGGGGCAGAGGGAGCACTCCTCCAGCCATTTTGTGACCATGGGGAGCCATGGGCTGTGTTAAGGAGAGTGACTTGACCAGGCTGACCCTGCAGCTGGAATACGGAAGCCCAGGTTGTAGGAAGGGCACACAAGGAAGATGCCAGAGGTGAGTGCTGATCATCACAAACTGGGGAGGTCATCTCTGAAAGTAAGCTGTGTGTTCCCCAGACCCGAAGTTTGAGAATAATGAGGAATGCTCTTCCAACATGAAAGCCAGCACTTTTCCAGGCTGACACTTTTCAACACCTCACTTGCTTTCATTCTCATCTGGGTCACCCTGCTACAATGCCAACCTAGCTCTGTCTATTCCTCCCAACATCCGGGCTCAGAAGTAGACTTGCATTTGCTCCCCTTCCTCTCTAAACACCTTCACCTTCATCTCACCCCAGACAAGAGGGTCCTTCCTCCCCATTCTTAATGCAAAAGCAAAAGCCAAGACTCAAGCACCTTCTGCTTTTGAGCTTCATTCCCGTCAACCCAGATAATTAAAAACTAAGATTTTCTGTCCACTCAGGAGTGGGGTGAGCAGAATGCCTCAACCAAGGAATGGAGCCCTGCAGAGTAATCCTGGACCAGGAAAAGGAGCTTAGTGAGAATGGAGCACCCATGGAGGAGTTGGAAGCCTCTGCCTTGTGCCTCACTCACAGCTGAGGCTGCCGGGGCAATAGTCTGAGCAGGAACAGAGCCTCCTGTGGAAATACACCCTTGGAAATGCGGGTGGAGTCAACAGGTAGAAAAAGTGTGAAAAAGTAGAAACTCCTAGCTGAGTGTCTATCCAGCAGAGAGATCAGAAACCACAATTCACAGGCAAAAATACCCACAGGAGCTGCTGACTTTGGCAGTTGTTATGCTAGTCAGCATCACATATCAGCATTCCCTGCACACCTAGAGGCATGTGCAATTGCTGAGCGGGACCCAATGGCATGTACACATCTGTGGGGACTATCTCAGTTATTTCTTGGACAGGACAGTCATACAAATGGTCAAAAACTTCTCCTGCATCCCACTTCAGACCTGGGACAAGACTAGAGTGAGGCAAGGAGGGGACTCAGCTGGTGCAAAGAATTTCAGTGGGTGCCCAAAAACTCAGCGATCAAGATGAAAAATATTTTAATATAACATTTTAATTTTTATTTTATTTTATTTTTTTGAGTTGGAGTCTCACTCTGTCACCCAGACTGGAGGGCAGTGGCACACTCCCGGCCACCGCAGCCTCGACCTGCTGGGCTCTAGAGATCCTTCCGCCTCAGCCTTCTAAGTAGCTGTAACTACAGGCACGCCCCACCACGCCCGGCTAATTTTTGATTTACTGTAGAGATGAGGTCTCGCCAAGTTGCCCAGGTGGGTCTCGAGCCCGCGGGCTCAGGCAATCCACTCACCTCAGCCTCCCAAAGGCGCAGGATTACAGGCTGAGCCACCACCGGCTAATATAACATTTTTAAATAAATGCAAAAAGATACATGATGAACAAAATATCAATTATAAATGCAGATGGGCTCCAACCCTGTACTTCCACGATGCATCTTTCTCATCTCACCCTAGTCCCAGCCCTGCCAAGCATGGTAGTGGAATGTAGACTATAAGTTGCTGGAGGGCAGGGATCTTGGCTGCCTTAGTCACTACTATACAGGATACCCTCAGGGCCTAATACAGGATCAGGCAAATACTAGGTGTTTAATAAATGCCTGTTAGCTGACTTAAATGTATAAGCAATCAGTTGGTGGATTTGCCCCTTCGCTGGTAGGTTTGTTCATTCACTTTCTCGCTCACTAACTTGCTCCCTCATTCACTCATTCACTCACTCACTCACTAACACACTGTGTCCTCTGGGTGTCCTACGTACCAAGCACTGTGCTGGCAGGGAGAAGGGACATAACGAGTAATAGATCTTGTTTATCTCCACGAGGCCTTGCTGAACATAGAAGAGAGATGCTTGAAATGATGTGCAGAAGCCAGGCTCAGTGACTCAGCCTGTAATCCCGCGCCTGTGGGAGGCTGAGGTGAGTGGATTGCCTGAGCCCGCGGGTTCGAGACCCGCCTGAACAGCGAGACCTCATCTTTACAATAAATCAAAAAATCAGCTGGGCGTGGTAGCGCATGCCTGTAGTTCCGGCTGCTTGGAAGGCTGAGGCGGAAGGATCGCCGGAGCCCAGCAGGTCGAGGTTTT